CAAAGGATCCAGGGGGGTTAAAGTCGGGGTGAAGGGGTCAGCGTTTAGGCTCAACAGTTGGTCGAAGTGAAAGGGGGAGGAAAAAAGGACAAATATAAGCGATATATTTTAGTTCCTGAACTTTAAGATAAAAGCAGAACATTAATCCTATTTTAATATGAATATTTCTTAGATTATTATAAAAAATCTTATAAACAACGTTTTATATTCAGCCTCATAAAAAGTTAAATATAGGGTGATAATAGGGTATAAATATTATTTTTGTATATTCATTTTCAGTTTTTTAAGCATGTGGTTAGATTTTTGTATAGGGCTTTCTTGTGGAGTTGAAAGCTTGTTTAGGAGAATAAAAAACTTTAAAAACTACTTTTTCCCTTTTGTTGTTCCTATTCATTATCAAAAGGATACAGTTTGGTGTCGGAAGAGCTGCTATCTCATGTTGCACAGATTTCCACTAATGGAATATGCCCGCAAGCTCTAAGAGTAGCGTGTATAAAAACGACAGGTAGCTAAGCCATAGCAACAAGGTAATTTTGCTCACGGCCGCGATGGCCAAAAGGCTGGTGCATTGTTGCGGTAAAATCAACACGACTAGGTACCCACATGTACATATAAACACAGGCACGCCGTCAGACAGTGCGTATGTGGAATATGACCAACATTGCGTATGAAGAATATTAACCCTCTTGTTGACTTACACTGTTCAAGGCTTCACTGTGGTTAGAATGCAAACAATGCATTGAGATTTTCCGGAAAATCCACCATGCTTTTTTACCATATTTTCTATGCTGCATTTCCTACAAACATTAAAAAAAATGGAATATAATTGAATAATAAACGAGCGTTTTTATGGTCGCAACTCCTTTTTAAATATGCAAATTAATTTTTAACATTTTTCACTTTTTCTGTGAACGAAATAGGCAATATGCTAATAAAACCGACGAGAGATTGAGATTGGGGCAAAATTAATTAAATAATGCTGTTAAAAGCTTTTAGTCGATGGAAATTACTGCACAGGTTGCACTTTCTAGAAATTATTATTTACTGATTGGTTTTCAAAAATTTAAGAAACCGACAGACTTTTTCCAATTTAAATTCACAGTGAGGTCGAAAGAAAGAACACTACGACATCAAAGCGAGAAGCACAAAGAGCAGATCCGAAAAAGTAATAGTAATAAAAGGAAGGAAGATAAGCGACAAAGCCGAGGCTGTGAAATGACAAGGTAGCTAAACCAAAAACGCAGCAAAGCACCTGAAAAGCAGATAAGCGACAAAGCACAGCACAATCGCAATAACCCGGAGAGCAATACAAATGACTTCAAAGGCCAAAGGTTGGCAACTACGTATACAACCGCAACAGAGACCATAAAGAAATGAGAGAAACTATTCCAAAGTCATTTGGCAAGCGTTGAAGGGCGCTGCAGAGGTCGGAGGTCGGTGGTTGGAGGTCGGAAAAGGGCAGCAGGGCAACAGAAGCAGGGTAATGGTAATGGTAATGGTAATGTCAATGGGCAGGGCAGTTGCTCAGATGAAAGGAGCTCGAAGTGTTTATTGCAAGACAAAGCAGCAATAGTTTCACAAAACAACAATAAGAGTCGGCAAAAACGGAAAATATTGGCTTAACACAAATGGGGGGAGAAAGGAAAATGGGGATCAAAAAGGTGCTAGCTTAAATGGAATGGAAATTGAAATAAATCGATTTGGGTCAGTGGTGAAAAAAGTGTTTAAAAAACGCTTTAAAATTACTTAACACTTGATTTAATTTATGAGTTTCAAAGGGGTGCATATATGGTGTTTTAAATTATTATTAATATCACAAGACTTTACTGTAGATTTTTCTTAGAAATTGCATCTGATATCAAAATAAACCTAACTTTAGTTAGACCTATAAAGTTACGGACTTTAAAAAGCGAGATGCAAACAAGAAGACAGCGAGAGAATCATGATGAGTTTTTCCGGACTGGAAACTCCGTTCATCTCGCTGTTTTCCCCACTCAAACACTTCCTTTTTTTTGTGTTTGCCTCTCCTCTATTGTTGCACTTTGATTGCACCATCCCCTCGAGAGACGGAGACTTGGCCTGTTTGCCAGCCATCATCATCGTCTTCATCGTTGGTCACCCGTTGGCCTCGTTAAGTTTTTGACAGGCCAACTAATTTCAGGGAAAAAGGAGGACCAAAAGTGGGAGCAAAAGCCCGAGGAGCAGTGAAGGGCGAACGCGAAGTGACACTTTTTCACCCCTTCCGAGGCGGCAACTTCAACTGGAGGCCAATCAATCTTGGGGCACGAGGAGTGGCGCCAGGCAGGCAGTTCAAGTGCCGGCCAAAACCCGGTTCACTTCATCTTCATTCATTTGGGCAATTGCTCGGCAGTCGCCCTTCTCCTGATCCTTTTCCCACTTAAACTACCAGTTATTTTCCTCCTTCTTCTTCGTCCTTTTTGGTGTCCTAACGACAATTGCAAATATGTTGCAATTTCCCGGTTTGGGGCCAATGGTCGAAGGTTGCCTTTCCTGTTGCTTGTTTGCCGCTCCTTTCCATCTTCCATCAGCCATCTTGCTCTTCCCTATTTCCGCTTTCTTCTACATTTCCACCTCCACCTCATTCCCGACAGGACATGGCAGGCTGAGCACTGCCTGGGGAGCTCCAAAATGTGTTGCAACTGCCTTGTCCTCCGCCTCGTTTCCATTTTTGGGACTCTTTTCGCTGCTCCTCCTGCCACGAAGATTGATCACAGTTGGCGCAACTTTTTGTTAGCCCCTCTTGCAATTTTTATTTCCACTCCCACCCCCTCTTGGCTACGCCTGTCGTTTAATATGAAAAATTGCGCGCAAATATTTGCAAAGCTTCCCCGCAGCAGCAGCAACAGCAGGGTGAAAAGGGTAAAGAAGCCCCGTCTGGCTATCCTAATTGTGAGAATTTGTCAGTTTTGTTGCCGAGGTCAGATATTAATCGTTTGCCAAGCGAACTATTCGTTTTTCCCGGATATTCCCATTTGTGGCGAGTAGCGAGACGAGAATATAGCGCAAAAAACTATGTGGGAAATGTGCAAAATGCAAATTAAATAAAGCATTTAAATTGATTGTAGTTTAATAGCTATTTATGTAGACATTAGCCATACATACATTTGTAATCTATAGAAAAATAAAATGTGATGTGAAAAAATATATATACATTCTATTGAAAGAAATTATTAAATTAATCGTTAAATACTATATTATTATAAATTCCCATTTACTTGTAAATTTGGATTTCCTCAGGAGAGATAAGAAACCTTTAAATCCTAAGCTTGCATTTCGAACTATAAGATATCACTAAATAATAATTATAATATTGTGGATTTAAACAGAATGTCAGAAATTTAAGTTTGTTTAAAATCCGTAACCCTTCTACTCGTTCTTCTGCCATTTAAACCCTCTATTGGTACTAATTTTCCAATAGCCAGCTGGCTAGAAGCTTAAGCTACGTCAAAGGGATAAAGTCCAAAAGAAGAGCTACAGAATAAAATAGCAAGTGAAGATTAACCGGAGTAGCTTTCGGTTATTCGAATGCACTTAACGGGAGCCCGTAAGCTCATTGCCAGTTGGTAACTCGGCTTCATTTGCCGCAGCTTTAAATACTCCTCGCGATTCACTTTTCACCCAGAAGCAATCAGAGATAAAAAAATATGAAAAAAAACACCAGAGCAGAAACAGTTAAATAAATAGAAAGGGAAACTTGATGCCATTTCGAAAAAAAGGCGAGGAGAAGCGGAAAGAATCCATAAAATCTAACATTAATGCCTTCATTTTGTGCTCAACAACAGCGAAAGTTAGCAAAGCAGACAAGGCCAAAAGGAAAATAAGAAGTTAAAGGAAAACGAGAAGGCAAAGGAAAACGAGGTGGAAGGCCATGGAAAACTTGAAAGTGGCAAGAGGCAAAAAGAATCTTTGGCCAAAGTTTTTCGCTTTTCCTTCCTCTCGATTTTAACGCATTGCTTAAGCCTCGAGGGGATTTTATAGCGGAAAAGCGGGCGGTCAGGGGAGGGGGCGTGGCATGGCCTAACGCGCGACTGCAATTCGCCAAACGCGCAAGGATAGCGAATCGAAAAATTGGCCTTAGACCAGCAGGAATGATGGGAATTTTCGAGCGCGACAAGTTTGCAGTGGGCCAAAAAGGAGGCTATAAGCATAGAGATGCATACACTGAAAAAACACCAGAAAGGAAGAAAACTTTAGAAGTTACAAGTGAATTTGTAGTATTTTTTAAAAATTAGTTTAATATTTTAAGTGCGTATTTTTATTTTTCTGATAAATTATTTTTAAAATAATCTCTAAATAATGTGAGCTAAATTGTAATTGATCCGGCGACTTTGTTTGGCTAAGAAATTTTTTTTTTCTGTGCACATAGCTTCTTGTTGAGCGGTTTATCCGTCTCTGGCTCTAAAAATGAAAATTGAAAATTGCTTGAATTGCATTTCGCTCTCGTTTTGATGAGAATCTACTCGGGGGCTTGGGAGTGGGTAAATTTTTAGGTGGATTTTCCCCATTTTGAGCTATGAGGATGGTTAGGCAAACATCTGCTGCAGTTCGTTGCGCTGCTCCATCTTTATGTTCTAGTGCCGAGGGCAACGCGGCGTATGAGCATCTTCGAGATCTCTTGAGTTTCACACTGCTTGGGAGGAAGACTGACAAAAGTTGGAGTGCCATGTTTGTTATGAAATCCCCTCTGATTTGCACCCTCTGTCCTCTGCTTTCGAGTTGCGCTCTTGTCTTAAGCCTTTCGCTATGCCCTTTTAGTTAAAATCCCATTTAATTAAACCATTAAGTCCTTTCCACAAAATATATAAAGAGGCAGTCGGAGATTCCATTTGGTTTAATGAGCAAATGCTCCACGCTCCACGAAAAGTTGTGTAATTGAAATTGCGGATGTGGCGAGAGGGTAAGCACTGCAAATGACTTTCAGTTTGTAGTTCTCGCTCTTTGTTTCGCCCCTCAGCTTTTAGCTTGTTTTTCATTATCGCGCTGCATTCCAAACTTACCTCAAATGATTTATTTATTTGCGGGCTGCACTGATTTGTTTGCAATTCACTTAGGCGCCAAAGTTCTGCAATGGGAATAATTGAGGAAAAGTTATTAGCGCGAGTAGTGGGGGAAATTATTTAAAACTATTCGGACTAATTAAACATTTTATGTTTAAATTCAAATAAAATGTGTAGAAGGGATTAAAGTTGCAATCATTATGTTTAACAAATTTACTGATTAAATCTGGAACAACAAAGATAATAATGATAATAAACCACAAAAAAAAACCTGTACAATTTTATTGGTAAAAAACACTTGTATGGCACATAGCTTATATTCAATTTTAATTAAAGTGATTATGCTAACATTTTATCAAAGTCCCATGAAGTACTAAAAATCTATAGAAAATCAATTAGTTTCTGTCATTTTTTATTTAAACGGAAATCATGTTAAAATCAGTTTAATTATTTTAAAGCAATTTATCATAATTTTCATAAGTGAATTTAAACAATTTTCATAAGTGAATTTAAACAATTTTTCATCTTCCAGGTCCCAATTCCCCCTCAAAACCCAGTAGATCCGACTTTTGGCAGGCACTTGTCAAGCCGCTTAATTATTATCCTCGATAGATGGTCCACTGGCTATGTCATATTTTGATGACCCAACCTCGAGTGCCTTCGGCCCGTTTAGTGCATAAATCTCTGGGCAATCCCTTCAACTGCAGCAGTGACAAACTTCGGCTGGCCAAGAGGAAGGCGACTAAGCACAAATGGGCCGCCTCGAGCAGGAGGACCACATGACGTATGCGCAATATGCCATCAGCTGGACAAAGGACTTAATTTAAAGCCGCTTTCGTCTCTTCTCAATTTCTGGCTGGCAGTAAACAAAATAAAACTCCAAATCTACTGCCAGACGCCCGCCTTTCAGTCTGCTTTTAATTATGGTTTTACACAGGCAGCCAGACAGATGGACAATTAGTGCCGGCCATGAATTATGAGCTCTCGGCTTTTATTTTATTTTTTCACCCCCCTTCACGGGTTAAGTAAATCATGGTCAGGAGTCGGACTCGGTGCTCATAAAATCACTTTAAACAATAGCTAAAGGGGGGTAAAGGGGGCCGTTGGAAGGGCCAACAAATGTGTAGTTAACTATTATGGCTGCCAGGAGTCGGAGCGTATGCTGAGCAGAACTGAACTTTTGTGCTTCATTTCCGTTTCCGGTTGCGACTGCACATATGCAAAGCATGCTCGGTGAGCATGGGCGGGTGGCAAAGGGGGGTAAGGGGGGCTTATGGCAGCATATGGATAATGGCAAAACGTGCCGAAAGCCAAAAAGTTTATGAGCAGAAAAGACAATGTCAGGAGCGGAGGCGGCTGCTAGTGAGGGGGCGTGGCCCCAAGAGCAGCACGTTTGTTTTGACTTTCAATTGGAATGCTTTCCTACACACCCAAGGCTCCTTTGCCTACTGTTGCTGCTCCTTTCTCCTTTTCCTTTTTTTTGGCAGCCATCTTTTCCGCCGCCTTGGCAGAACTTTTAGCAATTTGTTTGGCGCTACTTGGATAGCTTGTGAGAGCTTCATTTATGCAAATATAAATACAAATAGAGTGTACTTCTATAGAGAAGAATGCAACCGTTATAATCAGATGGAGATGATTTATGGCTGGAAATGATGAGGGTATATTAAATTAAATTTATTAAATTTATATCTTTTCTAATATATCTTTAAGATTTACAATCATTTTAATAAATTTCTGAGTTCATCCACATTGCGGATCTATCTTGTTTACATAAATATTTGCTCAAAACACCAAAGAAATACTCTTCGCTTGCAAAATAGAATAGGAATAAATGCAGAATAACAAAGGGAAAGGGTTCATAGACGAGCTAGACAGGAAAACGCAGACAAAAAGGATGTTTCTATGGCTTCGAATTGAAGTCCTCTCCCCCAGCCGTTTCTTGTCCTGTCCATCCTTCTGTTTGTCCATCTTGTTAACCTTTCTCTCAAACCCTTCCACCGCCTCCATTGTGATGCCATTCAAGATAAAAACTTAACTTAAGTCAACCCAGTCGACTTGTTGGCCCAATCTCTCATAAAGAAGTCTGTGGGAACAAGGCCAAAATCGAGAATTGTTTTGGCCTTAAAATTTGTGGGTCAATTGTCGTTGTCGTTCGTATTTCACATTGCTTTATCTGTTTCTCGTCCTGCATTTTTCGAAATATTTATGCACATTTGCTTGGTATTTTATGTGACAGGCAAAGTAACTATGAAATGGGAAAAGTTTTGCATTTGCCATCGGGATCTCTATTTCCTTAAAGTCTTTACTTGTGACAGCTGGTAAACAAATAAAGCCAGGCAAAGGGATAAAAGACAAAGTGCAAATTTGTTCTAAATAAATTATCCAATTTTGTGGCCAAATTAATTTTTTATTAGACTTAAAAGGGATTAAGTGTGGAATAAGAGCCAAAGTCCAAGTGAGCAGCTTACGTCTATTTCTCTTAAAACTAAAGAAATTTATGTTCTTCAAATATTCAGGAAAAAAATAAAGAAAAGCTAAATCTAAAGGACATCTCTCTGTTTAGAACACATCTCAACTGTTTGTCATCCGGCTCCCTCCGTGGAATAAAAAGCTGATTGGAAGAACAAAACTCATTTTGCCGACTTCTAATTCCGTACAAAAATTCCCAGTGGCCGGGTGTCAAAATCAGGCCGAATTGAATTCCTTGTCCTACCATTTACTCCTCCTCTGTCCCGAATCAGAAGAAAGGCGCCGACAACAATGAATGGATATATATCTGTAGCTGACATGTGTATAACAGAGAGAGAAAGAGCATCGTGAGGGACAGGGACGGAGACAGACACTCTGACAACGTGTTCCATCAACCGCACAACGAAAGACAACAACAGCTCCTGCAGAAACAACAAAAGCATCAACAATAACCCGTTGAAGATGGAGATGAAGAAGGATTTATAGTCGGTGGACCGAAGGCATCGTAATGCACATGTTCAGGGAAGGGGGGCGGAAGGCGGAGGGGGAGGTTCAGTTCCGTTCCCTGTGGCCTTCAGGGGGCAGTCGATGTCAAAAGTCTTGGCTATCAAAAGATTAAATCAAATTGGAGACCCCGAAGGCAAGAGGAACCACAAAAATGTTGCCTACATTTGAGCGTCATTATAGGAGTTTTCAAAATGGGGGAATTTATGGTTGAATTTATAAAATGGTATAAGAATATATTTAAATAAATAATTAAAATATAAAAAAAATGTTTTACTTCAATTTGATTTTAGTTTGTAGATAAAATGATTTTTGATTTTTTGCAAAGTGTATGATAATTTCTTAAATTTTCACTGGCATTTTCTGCACACACTGTATATGTGCTTTCACCCACACACATCTAATTCCGGCAAATTCAAATTTGCCAACTCATCAGCCAAATCTCTCTTCTTATCTGCCTTCCTCTTCCACTTCCTCATTGGGTCTCTCCATGGGGATTACTCCGCTTGCGGGCTGCCATTCAATTAAGTCATCATCGCCATGCATCTTGGTAGCATTAAACACGCAAGTTAACCCCCCGCCACCCAAAGAGCCACCCAAAAAGGCGCCCGCTTAACCCCATAGCCACTTGTCGAACATGATAAATTTGTGGGAAAATGCCAGTTGGTTCGGAACACAAAAAAAAGGGGGAAAATTTTCGCTGCCTTCCCCCCGCCGCGCTTAGAATGTTATTGCATTTTTAGCACCACAACGCCCCGCCTCCCGCGAGTTGCGTTAATTTTGCGCCAGCTGTCAAATGTCAAAATGTCAAGTGAAACAAAATTTTCGCATCATGAGAAATGCATGTCAGAGTCACACAAAGTCTCCATGGAGCAGCGGATGGGGGCGGGACGGGATGCGTGGGCGTGGCGTGGCGGGGCGGGAGATGTAAGCCAAACTAAGCGACAGTCTGCTTTCCCCCATTTTCCATTTTCCACCCAGGCTGCATACTTTAGTGAAGACCACCTACACCACCCCCCGGAACCGCCAATGGAGTGGCTGCCTGGCTGGAATCGTTATCGAGTTACCCAGCCGGAGCTCGCTTCATCATCATCAAACGGAGCGTGGCGAGGATGCTGTAGGGTTAAGAAGGGGTTAAGAGGGGTTAAGCTGGGGCCTGCGGGGCAAGGTCGAAGGGCAGTCGGCTGAGCATCATCAACATCATGATAATGCCCATTATTAGCAGTGGCAAAGCATTTGCATGCATTTTAGAATTTGTATATTCCGCCAACGCCGCTGCATTTCTACTCTGCTTATTACACTATGCAACAAGAGAGTATATTTAGATTAAAAAACAAATGCCAAACTATTTAAACAATTATAACGTAGACTTCTATTTAAATAAAGCATTTAATTAATAATAATAATAAATTATAGTAAAATACTTTATTTGAATTGATTGAACAATTAAGTTAATTAAAAAAGTAGATGTCAAAAAAATTATTCTAAACTTAGATTTACCTATAATTTAATTTTAAATATTTTCATTTTCCAAATGTTTAAATCTCGATATTATCCATTTTTTTTTTAGCTTACATAAATTCTTGAAATTCTTCCTTAGACATTAAACATAATTTAGCGACATATGGATGGTAAAAATAAGAACTTTGCTCTTGCTGACAAGTGTCATCATGGTTAGAATGGAGAAAAGTTGCGTGTCAGTGGTGCGTTGTGCATCTGTTGCGGGACAAACTCAGCCACAGACAGTCGGAGGCCCACGAAAACAGCTAGCACTCTGCCATCCCTGCTTTCCCTCCTTTCCCCCCCTTGGACCTCCGAATCGGAACCGATTTATGCGCACATTATAAGCAATTACACGGCCAAGCCAGCTGGGAACTGGCAACTGGCATCCATTGCCACTTCTGCGCACACTTACAGCCGTAGCCACATCCACAGCCACAGCCACATCCACTCCCATATCCATTTCGATAACTATTTCGGGCGCTAATTGAATCAGCGACTCATGACGGGAGTGGATCCACCTCCCCGGAGGTTAAGCGATGATTTGATTTGCCGCTCAAGTGTTCCATAAAAGAAGCCACTGACTCGCGTT